ATCATCCCCTTTCTCACATCTTCAAGCAGAGTGTAGCACTTTGTCTGGATTTTTGGGTTATCCTAGGTAATTTATACTACGTATACTTGTATTTGTGTACCTGTGAGACAGATAGACAAAGACAGATTGAAAGAGAGACAGATGACAAAGCAGAGAAGACTACAGACAAGACCAACAGAGAGACCGACGACAGAGACCGACCAGACAGAGGACCGACCGACAGGAGATGGACGACAACCGACCAGAGACGAGACCGACCACAGAGATGGACCGACCGACAGACGGACCGACCGACAGAGACGGACCGACCGACAGAGACGGACCGACCGACCGACAGAGACGGACCGACCGACCGACAGAGACGGACCGACCGACCGACAGAGACGGACCGACCGACCGACAGAGACGGACCGACCCGACAGAGACGGACCGACCGACAGAGACGGACCGACCGACGACCGACCGACAGAGACGGACCGACCGACCGACAGAGACGGACCGACCGACCGACAGATCGGACCGACCGACACCGACCGGCAGAGACGGACCGACCGACCGACCGGCAGAGACGGACCGACCGACCGACCGGCAGAGACGGACCGACCGACCGACCGGCAGAGACGGACCGACCGACCGACCGGCAGAGACGGACCGACCGACCGACCGGCAGAGACGGACCGACCGACCGGCAGAGACGGACCGACCGACCGGCAGAGACGGACCGACCGACCGGCAGAGACGGACCGACCGACCGGCAGAGACGGACCGACCGACCGGCAGAGACGGACCGACCGACCGGCAGAGACGGACCGACCGACCGGCAGAGACGGACCGACCGACCGGCAGAGACGGACCGACCGACCGGCAGAGACGGACCGACCGACCGGCAGAGACGGACCGACCGACCGGCAGACGGACCGACCGACCGACAGAGACGGACCGACCGACCGACAGAGACGGACCGACCGACCGACAGAGACGGACCGACCGACCGACAGAGACGGACCGACCGACCGACAGAGACGGACCGACCGACCGACAGAGACGGACCGACCGACCGACAGAGACCGACCGACCGACCGGCAGAGACGGACCGACCGACTGGCAGAGACGGACCGACCGACAGACGGACCGACCGACCGACCGACAGACGGACCGACCGACCGACCGACAGACGGACCGACCGACAGAGACGGACCGACCGACAGAGACAGACCGACCGACCGACAGAGACGGACCGACCGACCGACAGAGACGGACCGACCGACAGAGACGGACCGACCGACAGAGACGGACCGACCGACCGACAGAGACGGACCGACCGACAGACAGAGACCGACCGACCGACCGACCGGCAGAGACGGACCGACCGACCGGCAGAGACGGACCGACCGACAGACGGACCGACCGACCGACAGACGGACTGACCGACAGAGACGGACCGACCGACAGAGACGGACCGACCGACCGACAGAGACGGACCGACCGACCGACAGAGACCGACCGACCGACAGAGACGGACCGACCGACCGACAGAGACCGACCGACTGACACAGACAGACAGGGTGATAGACAGAGATAGAGATTGACAGAGATCGACAGACCCTAAACTTGCGGTTAACATAACTTTCCTCTTAAAAGAGAAGTGTTAATATGACATCACATCAATGAATCCATGGTGTTTGCCGCACTGTTTGCTCTAGCGGTGCTCAATTTAACTGGTGCTGCCACAAGGTACTAAGTGGTCCCAGATGTTTAATACTGTGCACACCGAGTGTTAAGACCAATTCTATGCTGACCAGGCATCTCAGGCCGATACGTTTTGGGTTGGGGCTCTACGCATAAGAACGTATATGTATGTTTGGGCCGTTTAGGGGTTGAAGTAGGGGCTTGGGATATTGGCAGTTTGGAGGGACATGTTGTGTAACTTTATACGTATATACATGTACTGTACTTCTAAACTGTTGTATTCTGGGCACCTCTGCAAAAAGTGATTATGTGTGAGTGAGGTGAAAGTGTTGAATGATGAAAGTGCAGTGGTCCCTCGCTTTTCGTAGTTCTCGGCAATCGTAAATTTCGGAAATCATAGGGATATTTTTGTATAAACATGGGCTCGCTTTTCATAGGTTGACTCGCGAGTCGTAGTTTGTCCGGGACGCGTACCCACGACGTGAGCTGTGGCCGCAGCCAGTCTGGCATTGTTTACCAGTGAGCGAAGGTCCCCTCATGTGCTCCAGCGAAATATTTCATAATCCATTTATTTTAGTGCTTGCAAGTACTAAATAAGCTACTATGGCTCCAAAGAAAGCTCCTAGTGCCAAGCCTGTGGTAAAGGTGAGAAATACGATTGAATTTAAGAAAACCATCATTGAACAATATGGAAGTGGTACAAGTGTGGCCGAACTGTCCAGGATGTGTAAGAAACCCTACACAACCTTATGTTCCATAGTGGCCAAGAAAAAGGAAATCAAGGACACTGTTGTTGCAAAGGGGGTAACTATGCTGACAAAAATGATATCACCAGTACTCGAAGAGGTTGAGAAGTTATTATTGGTGTGGATAAATGAGAAACAATTAGCAAGAGATACTCTTATGACTTCGATTATTTGTGAAAAGGCTAGGCATTTGCATGACGATTTGGTAAAGAAATTTCCTGCAACTAGTGGTGATGTGAGTGAATTGTGGTACAAGTGTGGCCAAACTGTCCAGGATGTATAAGAAACCCTACACAACCTTATGTTCCATAGTGGCCAAGAAAAAGGAAATCAAGGATGCTGTTGTTGCAAAGGGGGTAACTATGCTGACAAAAATGAGATCACCAGTACTCGAAGAGGTTGAGAAGTTATTATTGGTGTGGATAAATGAGAAACAATTAGCAGGAGATACTCTTATGACTTCGATTATTTGTGAAAAGGCTAGGCAGTTGCATGACGATTTGGTAAAGAAATTGCCTGCAACTAGTGGTGATGTGAGTGAATTTAAGTCCAGCAAAGGCTGGTTTGAGAGATTTAAGAACCGTACTGGCATACACAGTGTGGTAAGGCATGGTGAGGCTGCCAGTTCGGACCACAAGGCGGCTGAAAAATATGTGCATGAATTCAAGGAGTACATAGAGGCTGAAGGACTGAAACCTGAACAAGTGTTCAATTGTGACGAAACAGGCCTCTTTTGGAAGAAAATGCCAAAGAGGACCTTCATTACACAGGAGGAAAAGGCAATGCCAGGACACAAGCCTATGAAAGACAGGCTGACACTAATGTTCTGTGCTAATGCTAGTGGGGATTTCAAAGTGAAGCCAGTACTAGTGTACCATTCTGAAAATCCCAGAGTGTTCAGGAAAAACAATGTTATGAAGAGTAAATTGTGTGTGTTTTGGAAATCTAATAGTAAGGCATGGGTCACGAGGGAAATTTTCGTTGAGTGGTTCAATGAAGTGTTTGGCCCTAGTGTGAAGGAGTATCTCCTGGAAAAGAAATTGGATCTCAAGTGCCTGCTAGTAATGGACAATGCACCTGCTCATCCTCCAAACTTGGATGACCTAATTTTCGAGGAGTTTGGGTTCATCACAGTAAAGTTCTTGCTCCCGAATACCACTCCTCTCCTCCAGCCCATGGACCAGCAGGTCATTGCAAACTTTAAAAAAAAACTACACAAAAGCAATGTTTCACAGGTGCTTGACTGTGACCACAGACACTCACTTGACCCTAAGGGAATTTTGGAGAGAACACTTCAGCATCCTCCATTGCATAACCCTTATAGGTATGGCTTGGGAGGGAGTGACTACCAGGACTTTGAACTCTGCCTGGAGAAAATTGTGGCCAGATTGTGTCGACAAGAGGGATTTTGAAGGGTTTGGGACTGACCCTAATGAGCCTATGTCTGTTGTAAAATCAATTGTGGCACTGGGGAGTTCCATGGGGTTGGATGTGAGTTTGGAGGATGTGGAAGAATTGGTGGAAGACCACAACAAAGAGCTCACCACTGAGGAGCTGCAAGAGCTTCAGCAGGAAGAGCAACACATCGCAGCTCAGAATCTTGCTGCAGAGGAGGAGGAAGAGAGATGGAAGAAGGTGCCTTCTTCAGAAATTAAAGAGATTTTTACTATGTGGGGTAAGATGGAAAGCTTTATGGAGAAACATCACCCTAACAAGGTTGTTGCAAGCCATGTTGGCAACATGTACAGTGACAAAGTCTTGGGCCATTTTAAGGAAGTGTTAAAGAGACACCAGAAACAGAGCTCTCTGGACAGTTATTTTGTGAGACAGAACTCCAGTGACTCTCAAGGTGGTCCTAGTGGCATTAAGAAACAGAGAAGAGAAGCAACCCCAGAGAAGCAAATGGTACCTGAGGTGTTGATGGAAGGGGATTTCCCTTCCAAACTATAAACAATCCAATCTCTCTCCTCCTCCGGTCTCCCATACACTAAGAAGAATCTCCAATAAAGGTAAGTGTTATGCTGTTAATGTTTCATTCATCATTTCCCATTGTATTGTTTATGTACTACATGTATATTTCATGTAAAAAATTTTTTTGTTTTAATACTTCTGGGCGTCAGGAATGGATTAATTGTATTTACATTATTTCTTATGGGGAAAATTGATTCGCAAATCATAAATTTCGTTTATAGTAGCTCCTCCAGGAACGGACTAATTACAAAAAACGAGGGACCACTGTATTTTCTTTTCGGGGATTTTTTCTTTTTGGGTCACCCTGCCTCAGTGGGAGACAGCCGACTTTTTAAAAAAAAAAAAATTACTCAAGTGTGCATCGGTTTTACTTAAAAGTTGACTGTACTAGATGTTAGGGTCATGGTGGGCAAAAGTCATACTTAGTTTTTTATACCATGGTTATTTTATTCATCTGCACATTATTCTTTGTCAACAAGTTCCTCTTATTTTGAGTTCCTAAGGTATCCACTTTGGTTTAGTATTACAGCAATTATTATTAGCATGTGTCTTTAATAACCCAGTGATTTTTCCATAAATAATTGATTTGTGCAGATCCGAGACTCCAGAGATAAGCTTAGCGAACCTCGTCTTGGTGAAGAGGAGATGGCTGACAGAGATAGACAGCCAGCCCTTCGTGGCTACACTCCAGAGTGGGACCTTCAGCTTTTCATGGAGGCTCAGTCTGCTGCAAGTGAGAAAATAGTAAGTAATGGGTTATTTCTATATAGATTAATAGAAAATGTGTATTATGTGTATGTATTTTCATGCCTGATATCAGTATTCTGCAGTTTTTTGTTACAACTTTCTTAAAGAACTCTGAATAGAATGATCGATCACTAAACATATCTATTGTTACTGTGCTCTTAAAAGCTTTTCTCTGACCTCTTTTACTCGCTTATAGCTTAAGAAATTGATGAGTGATATTAAAAAAAAAAAATATTTTCTACAGGAAGATGACCTGAGGGGCCTTCCAGACAGTAAAGGGATCCGTTACATTGAGATGGGTCGTTATGAAATGGAAGCTTGGTACCAGTCGCAGTACCCAGATGATTACAATCAACAACCAAAAATATATATATGTGAATTTTGCCTTAAATACATGAGATCAAGAACTATATTACAAAGACATGCTGCTAAGTGTGTGTGGAAACATCCCCCAGGTGATGAAATCTACAGGTAAAGAAGAATGTACTTTTATATATTTGAGTGATTTGCTTGAACATCGATATGAAAAGACACCTGGTCAGTTACTGAACTGTTGATAAGTGTCTTTTTTCACATTGTCAGTATGACCATAGCTGGTGTATTCCTTGCAAGGACTACACCAACAGGTTGGAAATCGTCTTTGGAGGATGAAGATGAGTCCTTTGTAGGCATTCCTTGCAGGGGAGAAAGGGGTGTCTGCTGTGCTTGTAAGCTCATCTGAGGACAGTTCCCAGTACAAGAACATGAAGTGGCCTCTGCCTGTACCTGCTGCCTAAGCTTACCAGTAGGCTATTCCCTTCTTTTGCTCTTTAAGTTGGTTGCCTAGGTCCCTTGTGTCCACAAGGATTCTTACAGGTCCCTCCCAGGATAGGTTCGGCTGGATCATCGAGCTTGAGTTTTTGGCCCGAGGGATACAGGTTGAGTTGGGATTATTTTTATAGTTCCATGCTGTACTGTATCTCTTGCCAATACAGTAACATGGGGATGTATGTTGGGTAATTGGATTGTCTCAAGGAATTTGATTGAACTCTTGGCACACACCTTTTTTTATGCTTTCCTTGACTTTGTGCCACAAGAACAGCCTGATTTAGCTGAACATTTTCATTTCAGTTTTCAGTGCCTGCTCCTTTGGAGATTTATTAGCCAGATTTCTTGGAACTAGAGTTACTCTATGGCATAGCCTTCTTGCATCCTTCCTCAATAAACATTGTCTCCTTTGTATTAACCCTTTCAGGGTCGAGAGGCCCTCTCCAAAACTCGTTCTCAGGGTCGAAAATTTTTCGGAAAAATTTTTTTTTTTTCTTATGAAATGATAGAGATTATTTTCCTGATCATAATGACACCAAAAGTATGAAATTTTATGGAAAACTTACGGAATTATGCTCTCGCAAAGTTAGCTGTTTCAACGATGTTTACGCATCGGCGATTTCGCCCATTTGAGCCCTATTTTTGGCCGATTCTTGTGTACTAGTCGACAAAAATCATATTTATTTCGCTAGAACTCCATTTTTTTTCTATCAATTGAGTACTAGAAACCACCCATTTACCAATTTCACCTGTCCAATAAATTGGTTAGAAATTAGCAATTTTGCCAATTTCACACAAATTTCAGATGCCAATTTCCAAATAGGGTCCAGAATAAACGAGAAAGACATTCCTGGCACTAAAATAACAAGTTCCCTGTTCGTTAGTCATGTCCCCAGGCCCTTCTTACATTTCTTTTGCTTTCCACTTTGAATTTTTATTCTCACAAAAAAATAGAAGATTTACTGTTATGAAGACTACTGCATTAGTGTAGAAATGGTATAAATAATATCAGCGCACTTGTGAAAGAATATTAGACTCACCAGTTGACGTGTATTGGACGCTTGGCATGATTCGTTTACTTTTGAACTTTGGTAAAAATCGAACATTTCTGCTACTTTGAGCTCAATTTCAAGGTACTTTTCATTGTGAAACCAATCAAAATCATCTCAACTTCTGTAATACATCTTCCATTCTATAAAATGAGACCAGGAAAACTAGAATACAACCATAAATACCATACAAAAATACAGTGCAAAGTCACTGTTTTAATCCAAAAAAACGCTCGGTTTTTTTTCTCATTACGCACTGTGTGCTGCAGGATTTTTTTTTATACTGTGCACACTGACCACATAGACCCATTATTTCATATGTAGGTCTACCAGCTTTCTCTCGCTAGATTTGAAGGCGCTAGAATTTAGGCGTTCTAGTACATCAATAACCCTGGTGAGTAAGCCGTACTAGTACATCGGATACCCTGAAAGGGTTAATGTTGGTAGAATTACCAACAATATGTTATGTAAAAAGACACTTGTTTTGTTTTACCTAACATATTGTCGGTAATTCTACCAACATTAATACAATCTGTCGGACACCACAACATAATGGACATTTCATGCAGAAATGTCACATTAGTTGCACTTGTCCTTTTACCTAACACTGTCTCCTTTGTTGCCTGGCTTAAATTGTATCCCTGTGGGTCATTGTGTAGGCCTCCCATGGGCTTGGCAGATGAGCATTCTTCTCAGTGTCTGTAGCTGCCTAACTATCAATAGGGTGTCCAGAAGCACCCTGATTGGCTTACCACTGAAGTGTGTACACATTTAGGAGGGTCTAACTCACTACATAAAATTGTTCAGAAACATTAATGCTGGATTATTTCCTTAGGGTTCATGCTTTCCCTGGGGCATTCTAGCAAGGGTGGCTGAGTATGTAAACATAAGTGGCCATTCCCTCTTCCCTGTCTGTCTGATCATCCTTCATGTCACAATACACACACCTGATATAAACATTCTGTGCATTTTGCCTCTTGAGGGCAGACTGGAGAAGTCTCTAGGGTAGACTGATATGTGAGCTCTGTCGTTGGTGGGTCCTCCACTTAGGCATTTAGGGTTGGTCTCTGATTGTGATTACAAGTGTTCTTGACTGCTGTTAATTGTTGCGGTGTTCATGTATGCATGCAAATGGAGGGTCTTCTTGCTTCACAGGATGCCATTAGAAGTCTCCCTTGCTTTATGGAATAGATGCTTTCCTGGCCCATGGTTCATAACCCCATAAGTACAAGCAGGGAATTGGGACGGTAAAGTGGTGAAGCATGGCCAGAGGTGAGGGAAGCTAAACTTTACAATAGTGTGTGGTGGACCCCCTGTCAGAGCAAGGAGAGGTAAGTATTAGGTAGGGAGTACACATGGCATGTTTGTTAGGTCCTAGGGCCCTTTACACATGAATGCATCTTTCTTAGGGTCAAAATGGTTTTACTGCATATTGCTGAATGCATTTATCCCAGTACTTGGTACATTTTAAACTTCATTCACTTTCCTTTACTCTGATAGTTTGATTTTCATACCATTTGAAACTTTATTATTTTTTTTTTTAACAAGTTGGCTGTCTCCCACCGAGGCAGGGTGACCTAAAAATAAAGAAAATCCCCAAAAAGAAAATACTTTCATCATCATTCAGCACTTTTACCTCACTCATAGATAATCACTGTTTATGCAGAGGTGCCCAGAACATGACAGTTTAACCCTTAAACTGTCCAAACGTAGATCTACGTTCGCTCGCGAAGCACTCCAAACGTAGATCTACGTTTTTTTTACATTCTTATGGAGAAAATCAAGGTTGGAGCACTACTCGTGCAAACGTAGATCTACGTTTGGACAGTTTAAGGGTTAAAAGCATAAACGTATAAAGATAGACAACATATCCCTCCAAACTGCCAATATCCCAAACCCCTCCTTTAAAGTGCAGGCATTGTACTTCCCATTTCCAGTACTCAAGTCCAGCTATATAAAAATAACCGGTTTTCCTGAATTCCTTCACTATATATTACCCTGCTTACACTCCAACAGCTCATCAGGTCCCAAATGTCATTCATCTCTATTCACTCCTATCTAACATGCTCAGGCATGCTTGCTGGAAGTCCAAGCACTTCACCCACAAAACCTCCTTTACCCCCTCCCTCCAACCTTTTCAAGGACGACCCCTACCCGACCTTCCTTCCCTTACAGATTTATACACTCTCCGTGTCATTCTACTTTGATCCATTCTCTCTAAATGACCAAACCACCTCAACAACCCCTCTTCAGCCCTCTGACTAATACTTTTATTAACTCCACACCACTTTATTTCCACACCCCGAATTCTCTGCATAATATTTACACCACACATTGCCCCTAGACAGGACATCTCCACCGCCTCCTCGCTGCAGCATTTACAGCCCAAGCTTCACACCTATAAGAGTGTTGGTACCACTATACTTTCATACATTCCCTTCTTTGCCTCATAGATAATGTTTTTTGTCTCCACATATACAGTGGACCCCCCGCTGTTCAGCGGCCACGACTTTTCTGAAATCCGACTTTCGGCAAGTTTTTTCGGCAAAATTTAGCTTCATGGTTCATGATTGGGCTCGTGATTCGGCAACCTTCTGGTATGCGTCTGCCCATCAGCACTCACACACAGCCAGTTTCCTGCACTATTCACACTCAGTGTGCCATTGTTTACCAGCATGTGACCATCACCTCAAGGATTCATACAACACATTTCATAATAATTCACTGTTTTTTGTGCTTGCAACTGCTAAATAAGCCACCATGGGCCCAAAGAAAGCTCCTAGTGCCAGCCCTTTGGTAAAGAAGGTGAGAAACATGATAGAATTCAAGAAAAAACTCATAGCAAAGTACTAAAGTAGAGGAGGAAGAGAGAGGGGAGAATGTGCCTTCTGCAGTGATTCAGTTATTCTACAATATGTACGATACTAAAGCAGCAGGTATCGATAAAGGCTGTGGAAATTTATTTGGTCCTAAAGTTCCACAGGACAGATACGTCGTACAAAGATCCCAACATGTCACGGATGGAACGGCTGGGTTGGGTGGCCCTTACGTCCACCCAAAAAAAAAAAACACACACACACACACACACACACACACACACACACACACACACACACACACACACACACACACACACACACACACACACACACACACACACACACACACACACACACACACACACACACTCACACTCACACTCTCTCTCACTCACTCACTCACTCACTCACTCACTCACTCACACCCACCCACCCGGGTTGGCGGAGGTGGTTGGAAGGTACTTCTTAATTGATAGACTTACCCTTCAAGGAAGAGTTAGGTAGTTTATACTGTTAGTGAACTAATATTAGGACTATTGAGGCAACTGTAGATAATAATAATGTAGTCCTAAGACCTTAACGTAGGTAGTAATAGGCCGATAATGTAGGCAAACACTAGGTTATATTAGCCAGGGAGAACTGGCAGCCCAAGTTTGAATGCTGGGGGCACGGGGTTTTGAAACCGAGTGCCTCCTTCTAATACCAGACACCGTCGAATCAACAAGCAGGCGGCGCCCCACGTGTCTTCACATACTAGACCTGGGGAAATCTGGTGGAGGCACCTCGACGTACTGTAGATGTCCTCCTCCGTCAGGCCCATACAGTAAGATGAGACCTCCCTTTCTTTCTCAGTATTCTGGCCAGTTTCTGGGGGAAATTGCGAGTGAGTTGAGCTGTGGGCCTTTGTGCAGGCGGGCAGCCCATGACCAGTACATACCGGCATCTTTGTCAGCCTTAGAAGCTAGTGTCACTTTCTGCATAGTTATACTAGGGGGTACTCACCCCCTTGGAAACAGGAATTTCTGAGGTGCAGCCAGGTAACTAATACCAACTGAATATTGCAGGAATTAAGGCTCCCGGTTCCACGTGGTTCTGAGGGGAAGTCCAGAGGGGCTAAGGCTTAGGGAGGTTGAAGACCGGAATATATTATCCAACACCAAGTAAGTTAGCCCTTTATTCGTGCATGCAGGCGAGATTTTCTTGCCACATCAGTCATTTATGAAAATCTGTCCTATAAGCCATTTGTGAGGCTGGGGTACCGACCTCAGAGCTCGGTGTCAACGGAGCTTGCTAGGGTAAGCAACTCGCATGGAGGCAGTCCAAACAAATTTCCACAAAGGCTATAGCTCCAGCCAGCAATAAAGTGTAGAATTAACCCTTTGAGGGTTTCGGATGTACTAGTACGGCTTACGACCCAGGGTTTTTGACGTACTAGTACGCCTAAATTCTAGCGCCCTCAAATCTAGTGGGAGAAAGCTGGTAGGCCTTCATATGAAAGAATGGGTCTGTGGTCAGTGTGCACAGTCTAAAAAAAATCCTGCAGCACACAGTGCATAATGAGAAAAAAAAAACTTTGACCGTTTTTTTGGAATAAAACAGCGACTTTGCACTGTATTTTCGTATGGTATTTATTGTTGTATTCTAGTTTTCTTGGTCTCATTTTATAGAATGGAAGACATATTACAGAAATTTAGATGATTTTGACTGGTTTTACAATTAAAGATACCTTGAAATTGAGCTCAAAGTAGCAGAAATGTTCGATTTTTACCAAATTTGAAAAGTAAACAAATCGTGCCAATGGTCCAATACACGTCAACTGGCGAGTCTGATATTCTTTTACAAGTGTGCCAATAATATTTATACCATTTTTTACACTAATGCAGTAGTCTGCATAACAGTAAATCTTATATTTTTTGTGAGAATAAAATTTCAAAGTGGAAAGCAAAAGAATATAAGAGGGGCTTTGAGACATGACTAATGACCAGAGGAAATGTCATTTTAGTGCCAGGAATGTCTTGTTTATTCTGGACCCTATTCGGAAATTGGCATCTTTTGAAATTTGTGTGAAATTGGCAAAATTGCTAAAGTCTGACCACTGTACTGGATAGTTGAATTTCATAAATGGGTGGTTTCTTGCACCCATTCGATAGAAAAAAATGGAGTTCTAGCGAAATATTCATGTTTTTTGTCGACTAGTACAGTGGAACTGGCCGAAAATGGGGCTGAAAGTGGGCAAAATCTCCGATGCGTAAATATCCCCGAGACCGCTAACTTCGCGAGAGCATAATTCCGTAAGTTTTCCATCAAATTTCAAACTTTTGGTGTCCTTATGATCGGGAAAAGATTCTCTATCTTTTCATAAGAGAAAATTATTTTTTTTTTTTTTTTAAATTTGGCCGACCCTGAGAACGAGTTTCGGAGAGGGCCTGTCGACCCTCAAAGGGTTAACAGTGTAGCAAGAAAGTTAAGTGAGTAAGCGATAGAAAAACATGAGAGTAACTCTCCAATGTTGTTGGATATGTATAGGACCGCTGAACATACACAGCCCTTCTATCTTCCACCACCCTAAACCTCTGCCAACATCTCCTTCATCAAACTAACTAATTAAATTAACATCTCTAAGGTAAGTGTAAATATAAAAGTGTAAGTATAAAAGTAAATATAAGTGTAAATATAAAAGGACACCAATGGAAATATGTCACTCTTGAATTTTTTGGGTAATCCTGGGTACTTTACATATATGCTGCTATGTATGATAATCTATGTATGTAACTGTATTTGTGTATACCTGAGTAAACTTATTTATAAATTAAAATGTAAATATTTCTTATTTATAAATTAAAATGTAAATATTTCTTATTTATAAATTAAAATGTAAATATATCTTATTTATAAATTAAAATGTAAATATTTCTTATTTATAAATTAAAATGTAAATATTTCTTATTTATAAATTACATACATTGTTTAAGTGTGATGGTGGTGGTGGCCAAAGCCTCCACTGCCACCAACACGGCTTCTCACAGTGGCGGCCCTTAAACCCAACAACAACACTTACACCATTTACTCCTCTCATACATTGATATATTTTATTCATTCTAGAGTATATATCATGTTTCTATGTTGTTAATATTGTTTTAATGTCATATTAGATGAATTGTGATGGAAAAATAAGCCGTAGAGATGATATTAGCGTCATAATGAACTCGCCTTCCTCTTGCCTCCTACCTACCTCCTACACCAATAAGAATCAATAAATGTTAAATGTTCATTTATCCATTTTATTAGTGCTTTATATTTATTTGTCATTGTTTTCTGTATGTAAATCTATATTTAATCTTTAAAAAAATTATTTTTTGTTAATATTTTTGGCCGTCTGAAACGGATTAGTTGGGCTTCCTTTATTTCTTATGTGGAAAATAGATTCGCCAATCGTGTATTTCGCCAGTCGGCAGACTCTCTGGAACGGATTAATCACTAAACTCGGGGGTCCACTGTACCACAATGCACCACTCGCCTTTTTTCCTTCATCAATTCTATGGTTAACCTCATCCTTCATACATCCATCCACTGATACATCAACTCCCAAACATCTGAAAACATTCACCACTTCCATAATCCTCCTCTCCAATTTGATATCTAATTTTTCTTAATCTAAATCATTTGATACCCTCATCACCTTACCCTTTTCTGTGTTCACTTTCAACTTTCTACCTTTACACACACTCCCAAATTCGTCCACTAACCTTTTAATTTAAGTAAATTCAGTCTCCCCCATCTCTCGTTACTGTGTAATTTCCATGACTGTTGTAGTAGCTTAATACATTGTTTATACTGTGCAGGTTTTGCTGGTGTGAAAGAGACTGCCAATTATCAAGTTTTATCCCTCCAGATGTTTTATCCACTTTAATGGTTTTTTTTTTATTTCAATAGTAATGAAACAGGTCTATAGTTTAAATAGTCTCGCCCATCATATTTGCTTTTTTTTATTTTTAAGCGTGCTGATGAATAAAAAACACCCACTGATACGAAACTTCTGCTACTATGTATATTTTTTCATTACAGAAAAGACAAGTTATCGGTATGGGAGGTGGATGGCAAAAAGTACAAGATTTATTGTCAGAATTTGTGCCTCCTCGCTATGCTTTTCCTTGACCATAAAACACTTTATTATGATGTTGAGCCTTTCCTCTTTTACATTATGACCCAGGCAGATGGTGAGGGCTGCCATATAATTGGCTACTTTAGCAAGGTATGTAAATCTAAACAGTTTTTATTGTATTTTAGTTAATGATTTATAGCATTAATTGGTACACTTAATGTATATTATATATGCTTCATCTACTTGTTAAAACTTCTGTTAATTACCATATGGATGTGCTTTTCAGACTTATTCTACCCAAAGAGCAAAACTCTGGACAGAAAATTGAAACAAATGTAAGAGATCTGTATATTTCAGCCTGAAGTCAAACTTTCTTCAGAAAATAGCTATACATGTTACAGAATAAGGGATGAATTTATGTGTAGGCTTGCATGTGACCTTGCTGATAGTGGGTGGGATGATGGTTCTCCTTACGCAAGTGGTTCTCTTGTAAGTTTGGACTTGGACAGCCTTTGGTCGTAAGCCTGCATGTTGGCAGTGCACTGCTCAAACACCATCTCTGGTGGTCACTTCATTTTCTAGCTCCATCACACTGATGGATTCGTGAAGTTAAGGGCCATGTGTTTAGGCATCATCATTTTTACTTGTGTGGACTTTCTCCTCCAGAGCAGGTGTGTGCACAGCTAAAGGCACCTACCACTCAACATCATAGTCCTGGGCTTTTCTGGTGGCCTAATCCTTTGCCCTGTGGAGGTCTTCCATGATGACTTGTCCATCTTGGTAGACTAATTAAAAGCCACTATCTGTCAGTCTGGTGTCCTTCACTTGGATGCATCATTTCATCTCCGTGGTCCATACCCTACAATTAGCCCAGTTCTGCAAGTTGTACAAATCTTTTCCATCCTTTCCCCATCCTCATATGTTTATATTTTTCTCATCAGTTTTACGTCAGCAAACTGGGATATATCTGACTTGATCCTATCTGGGGTATCATTCACATAAACCAAAAATGGTACTGGCCCTAATACCAAGCCATGTAGTACCCAGCTATCTTCACTTTCCCATTCTGACAGTTCTAACATCTCGTCCTGGACAGTCAGTCTTTGCCTCCTCCTGAAGTGTACTCTGCTCCACCAGAGTACATTGCCTGTTATTCCTGCCTGCACTTCAAGTTTTTGCCCCAGTCAAATGTGGGTTACAATATTTTGGCTTCCTTCTTGCAGTTTAAGAAAATGCAATCTGCCTAGCTCACTCTTCTGTCTCATTTTTATTACTTTGTTGTAGAATTCCAACAGGTTAGTAAGACGAGATTTACCCTCTGCCTAGTGGTTCAGACAAGGATTCTGCACGCAGAATTCACGGTGACACCTTGCCAGGTGTTTCTGCCTTTGATGCATGCAGTTCCATCAAAAAAAATTTCACCTCTTTTTCCTGTTTTGTCTACAGTGTTCAGTACTCTTTCCCATAGGGCTTTCTGGCATTGTCCCACTGATTCTGATTAATAGTTCCATTCCTCCACTTTCCATGATTTCTCTTTCCCTATCTGCTGGATATGTCTCGTATCATTTCTGTCAGCTTTTTCATGGCAATTTCTTTGATTTTGGGGTTAACTTGGTTATTTGGTCTTTCCATAATTCATCTGCATTTGTGTAACAGAGATTTTTCTTACCATAGAATAGTTTGTGTTACTCATCCAACAGTAGTGAGGGAGGTAGAGGTGGGGTTGGTGTAAACACCACTACTGAGGGAGTGTCAGGAATAAGGTTTTTAGGTAGGGAATGAGGTGTGTGGAGAAGGGAAAGGGTAAGGTGTTAGTCTTGTTGGTGGGGTAGTGAGGGATGGCTCAGAAGTGGGCATGCTGGGAAAGGGGTTGAGGTTGCATCTGGAAGAGTTCCTTAAGGTTGGGTGCACCCTCCTCCTGGCCCCTTATCTGCTGCTCTTTTATATGCCTTATGAATTTTTGTGTACAGTACTCCCTCATCTGTTCCTTTTCTGTTGCTGTCCTGTCTCAATCCAGGTATACACAATTGTAGTGTCATGTGGTCTTTAAACACACTCTGTTTTAAGATCCTGTGCCTAGCTTTATGGGGTCAGAAGGTTAGTTTCATCAGGCATTGTTTACCATAGGTGAGCCTCCCAGTCCTCTGAAAATTTACAGTTTTCCCTGTCTCTTCCTCTTCTCTTATACATTCAGTTATAATCTCATGTGTCTCATTTTTCCATCTACTTCCTGGGCCTCCTCTAGCCTGGAGCCCATGGATCATCAATGATCTCCCTCTTTCTTATAGTGCTTTTCCTCCAGATCTGTCTTTTCCACCATTTTCCTTGCTGTCTCTTATCACCTCATTAGCCTTCTTATCTTCAGAGAGCATCCCTGTTAGTGACTTTCTTCTTTGTCCTCTCTGAACCCCTCTTCTCTCTCTTTTCGTCCTTTGTTTCTGCCCATACAGTCCTCCTGCTCATTTCCTTAATGATCTCCTTCAGCCCTTTAATTTCCTCTTCCAGCTTTAAGGCTTTCGTCTGCCTTATTAGCCCTATTTTTTTCTGCAACCTTTTTCTTTGCTTTGTTGCATATTGCCAGTCTCCTTCCGAAGGGAATTGAGTTTCCCTTCAAACTCCTCCTTCAGTATTCCTTACATTGTCTTCTTCAGCTTTTTTCATTTCTTCTTCCAGCTTTAGGGCTCTTTCCTATACTGTATTATCCTTGTTTACCTGTTCTGCAACCTCCCTTTGCTTTGATGCATAATGCTGTGGTTTATCTCTGGAGGGAATTGAATTTTCCTTCAAACTTCTCCCTAAATTGGGTCTTCAGGTCATCCATTGTTTTCAGGGAAAACCATCCACCTCCTTTATGCCATTTTTATTGTTTTTGAATGCTCCTGTGATTTGCCACTTTCTTGTTTGCATAAGAGAAGTTTGTGTGGGGGGGGGTATGCTCCATTTGGAGCATACCCCCCCAGTTAGGGTAAGATATAAACAGCTATTGGAGGATAGATGGGCTAATGAGAGCATAGGCAATGGGGTCGAAGAGGTATGGGGTAGGTTTAAAAATGTAGTGTTAGAGTGTTCAGCAGAAGTTTGTGGTTACAGGAAAGTGGGTGCAGGAGGGAAGAGGAGCGATTGGTGGAATGATGTAAAGAGAGTAGTAAGGGAGAAAAAGTTAGCATATGAGAAGTTTTTACAAAGTAGAAGTGATGCAAGGAGGGAAGAGTATATGGAGAAAAAGAGAGAAGTTAAGAGAGGGGGTGAAGCAATGTAAAAAGAGAGCAATGAGAGAGTGGGCGAGATGTTATCAACAAATTTTGTTGAAAATAAGAAAAAGTTTTGGAGTGAGATTAACAAGTTAAAAAAGCCTAGAGAACAAATGGATTTGTCATTAAAAATAAAGGTGAGGAGAGTTATTAAATGGAGAGTAAGAGGTATTGGGAAGATGGAAGGAATATTATGATGAATTGTTAAATGGTGATGAAGATAGGGAAGCTGTGATATCGTGTATAGGGCAAGGAAGGAATACAATCTTGTAGGAGTGAGGATGAGCAGTTGTGAGTGATGGGGGAAGTTCGTGAGGCAGTAGGTAAAAGAAAGGCGGGTAAGGCGCCGGGATTGATTGGGATTAAAGATAGACATGTTAAAAGCAGGGGTGGGGATATAGTTTTGGGTGGATGGTGCAATTAGTTAATAAATGTATGGAACGAGGGTAGGATACCTAGGGTTGGCAGAGAGCATTGCATAGTTCCTTTGTATAAAGGCAAAGGGATAAAAGGAGAGTGCAAAAAATTATTAGGGGGAGAAGTTCTGTTGAGGTGTACCTGGTAAAGTTATGGTATGAGTTTATAATTGAAAGAATTAAGAGTATGACGGAGGAAATAGGATAGCAGATGAACAAGGAGGCTTTAGGAAAGGTTAGGGGGTGTGTGGACCAGGTGTTTACAGTGAAAACATATAAGTGAACAGTATTTGATAAGGCTAAGAGGTCTTTGTGGCATTTATGGATTTGGAAAAGGCGTATGACAGGATGTGGGTAGGGGGGCAATGTGGCAGATGTTGCAAGTGTATGGTGTAGGAGGTAGGTTACTGAAAGCAGTGAGAGTTTTACGAGGGTAGTGAGGCTCAGTTAGAGTATGTAGGAAAGAGGGAAATTTTTTCCCAGTAAAAGTAGGCCTTTGACAAGGATGTGTTGATGTCACCGTGGTTGTTTGATTATTTATAGATGGGGTTGTAAGAGAAGTTAATGCGAGGGTCTTGGCATGAGCGAGTGGAGTTAAAAGATAAAGAATCACACACAAAGTGGGAGTTGTCACAGCTTGCTCTTTGACTGATGACACTGCTGCTATTGGGAGTCTCGATGGAGAAGTTGCAGAGATTGTGTGGAAGAATTTGGTAAGGGTGTGCAAAAGAAGAAAATTTAAAGGTGAAATACAGGAAAGAGTAGGTTATGAGGATAAACAAAAGAATTAGGTGATAAAGATTGAATATCAGAAGTGGAGGGAGGATAATGGAGGAGGTGAACGTATTCAGATATTGGGATGTGGACGTGTCAAGCGGAAGGGTCTAGAAAGTGAGGTGAATCATAGGAATTGATGAGGAAAAAGAGTGAGTGGTTGCACTTAGGAGTCTGTGGAGCAAAGAACTTTGTCCTCGGAGGGCAAAGAGGGGAATGTATGAGAGTTAGTTTTACCAACGCTCTTATATGGGTGTGAAGCGTGGGTGATGATGTTGCAGCGAGGGGGAGAAGGCTGGAGGCCAAGTGGAGATGTTATGTTGAGGGCATGTGTGGTTGTGAATATAATGCAGAATTCGTAGTTTGGAAGTTAGGAGGAGGTGCGGGATTACAAACTGTTGTACGAGGGCTCTGAGGAAAGGGTTGTTGGGGTGGGTTGGACATGTAGAGAGAATGGAGCGAAACAGAATGACTCAAGAGTGTTTCTGTCTGTTAGTGGAAGGAAGGCGGAGGTAGGGGTCGCCTCCCTAGTGAAGGTTGGTGGGAGGGGGGTTAAAGGAGGTTTTGTGTGCGAGGGGCTTGGACTTCCAGCAGGCATGCGTGAGCGTGTTTGATAGGAGTGAATGGAGACAAATGGTTTTTAATACTTGACGTGCTGTTGGAGTGTGAGCAAAGTAACATTTATGAAGGGATTCAGGGAAACCGGCAG